ACACACACACAGTCAGACACAAACAGACACACACACAGTCAGACACAAACACGCACACAGTCAGACACAGACACAAACACAGTCAGACACAAACACACACAGTCACAAACACACACACACACAGTCAGACACAAACACACACAGTCAGACACAAAAACACACAGTCAAACACAAACACACACACGCAGTCAGACACAAACACACACACACGCAGTCAGACACAAACACACACACACAGTCAGACACAAAAACACACAGTCAAACACAAACACACACACACAGTCAGACACACACAGTCAGACACAAAAACACACACAGTCAGACACACACCCACAGACACAAACACACACACACAGTCAGACACAAACAGACAGTCACACACAAAGTCAGACACACAAACACACACACAGTCACACACAAAGAAACACACAGTCAGACACACACAGTCAGACACACACACACACACACAGTCAGACACACACACACACACACACACACTTACCTTTGGGAGTGCTGGGGGGGTGGTTCCTCTTTCTCCCTGGTGGTCCAGTGGCTGCTGGGCGGGCGGCTGGCGAGGGAGCACTTCCCCTGAGCTGACTGCTCAGCTCCCTCGCGCACCACAGAGTGAGGCTGGGAGCAGGGTCGATGACGTCATATTCCGGCTCCCAGCCACACTCTGCGGCGCGCGAGGGAGCTGAGCAGACCACTCAGGGGAAGAGCTCCCTCGCCAGCCGCCCGCCCGACCATCAGCCAGCGCCGCCCGCCCAGCATGTCAGTTAGCTGCAAGGCTAACTAGGCATTTGCTCTGGGCATTTGGGGGCGGCGCTTTTTGCCGCCCCCTGAAAAATGCCGCCCAAGGCAAATGCCTAGTTTGCCTCACGGCTAATACGTCCCTGATGAAAATCCAATTGCAGGTGATGTGGGCTAACAGCAAAGCTTGGGTAACCAGGCAATTTTTGTATTGAGTGGGACAAGTGTTAAAAAATACATACAAGAAAAATTTTTACCTGTCAAGGCTCTGCTTCTTATGCATAATGCTCCTGCTCACCCTCCAGGATTGGAGGATGAATTGATGGAGGAGTTCAGTTTTATTACTGTGAAGTTTCTGCCCCCGAATACAATTCCAGTTATCTAGCCCACGGACCCAAGTAATTTTCAAACTTCAAAAAGCTTTACACCAAAGCACTGATCCTTGGAGAGTTCTGGAAAAATCTTTTAAATATTCTACATTGTTTACACCTCATAGATAAAGCATGGATGGATGTGTTTTATAGGACTATGAACTCAGCCTGGAGGAAATTGTGGCCACAGGCTGTCCCTGAAAGAGTCTCTGAGGGGATTGTACAGGATGCTCCTGTTGTTGAAGAAATTGTGTCTCTGGGGAAATCAGTGGGCTTGGAGGTGAATGATGAAGATGTGGAGGAGTTAGTGGAGGATCACCAGAAAGAACTCAACACAGAAGAACTCCAAGACCTTCAGAGCGAGCAGCAAAAGAGGGGATCTGAGGAATTGAGGAGGAGGAGGGAAGGGAAAATGTTCCTAGTGCACTGATCAAAGAATTGTGTGCAAAGTGGGTTGAAGTGCAAAATTTTGTTGAAAAATATCACCCTGATAAAGCTGCTGTAATTCATGCCACAAACATGTTCAATGATAATGCTACGTCTCACTTTAGACACATTTTAAAACATTCGCAACAGCAAGTCTCAATAGACAGATTTTTAGTGAAGAAAAGGTCCAGTGAGCATCAACCAGGTGTCAGTGGTGTGAAACGATCAAGGGAATGACCGCCAGAACAGTTAGTACCTATTGTAATTACGGAAGGCAACTCCCCATCCAAACAATGATAGCTCTTCTCCTTTCCACTTATGCCATCAACTCTCATCATTACAGGTAAAGTGAAGTGACATTTGCATTTCATTTACTGTACAGTGTGTTTATTATTTTATTTCTATATGATTTTATGCATGTAAGGCATTAATAAACAATAAAATTTGTGTTAAAATGCTGTAATTTTTGGGGCCTGGAACGGATTAATCACATTTACATTAATTCCAATGGGAGATGTTGATTCGGTTCTTGAACAAACTGGAACTCGAACAGCCTTCTGGAACGGATTAAGTTCGAGTTCCGAGGTTCCACTGTATATATGTCTCCATTATTTTCTCCAAGTCAGGTTATAAAAACACTTTTGCCACTAGATGGCGGTATGAGCCCTTGAATAGGACATTCTAATAGTTCACAAAAAAAGCAAGGTTAAATTAGTTTACTACCAAGATATATATTGTTGTGTTATTTCCCATATGACATCCTTGCATGTATTGAAATATGTAAGATTCAGAATAATTCCACCATATAACTAGGGAATTCCCTCCCATATGAAAGATAAAAACAAGACGGGATAGTCAGCAACAAAAAGTAAAGAGAGGAAAAGAAAAGAGAAGTGTTGAGGATCTGAAGGGCCTGTTAGAATTTGGAACACGTTTTGCTGTGATACAGCACAACCAGTAGGAGTACCTGGATTTTGGTACATGTTCCATGTAGGTCAGTGGTGGCACTGGGGCTTTAATGGGGTACAGGGGGTCCAAGCATCAAATCTGAAAAAGGGCGTGAGCAAAGGTGAGTCCAAAGATCAAGGCACGCAGGTAGGTAATGCAGTCATGTGAAAAAGCTTGTTTAGACCCGAGAGGCTGTGAGTCCTTACCTTTTCTGACAATTTATCCCTCTCCCCTTAGAATGGGACATGGTTTGAGCAGAGCCCTCAGTAACTTCTGTTTATGTACATCCACCTTCTCTTGTTGCAACTACTTGTATGTTAGTCTACCTATTGTTCAGCACCACAAGCATCCAGAAGACACAGACCTTTGTACACACGGCCACTGGTCTTCGACAACTTCACCGTACTGCTGCTCTCACCGCACTTCGCTACTCTAACCATGGAGTCCACATCCCACCACCCTCCCTAAAATCTGGAGGTGGAAAATACTCAGGGACACCACTTGGGAAGCAAAGGAATGCAGTGGTTAAGTAAAGGCTTCAAAAGTCAGGAACAGGGTCCAATGGAAGCTGCTACCTCCTAGCCCAGAGGAGCAGGCCGAAAGTGTCCAATACAGAACATGAGTCAGAACAGGACTGGGATAACCCCCATTGGCCCAGGAGGGAAAACAGGGCTAGAGCGTCACTCAGCACAGCAGCATGTCAGAAAACAATGAGGCACAGAAATAAAGCACAATCTACAACCTTCATTAATCCCCTCGAGTGCCAGATGAATGACAGCTGTCAATATAACATGTGTTTTCTAGACATGACTCTTGAATTGGCTCTGAAGGGGAGTGTGGCACATATAGGCTTCACATGAGGAGGTAGGCCTCAGTAATATTTTTTGATGTTGCAGGGAAGTATTATAGACATTAACCAGTCCTACCAATAGGGAGATGAGAACTTACATGTGCCCCATAAACCAGTACACAGTACCCCCATTAAGCAGGATGACCCAGATTCATGGTATTAGGGCAGGAGCTAGGGGAGGTAGAATCTCAACAACATGGTGGACCAGCACCACCCCCAAAAGATATTTATATTTGTATTTGCTATATGTAATTAGAATTACAATATTCTCCCCTTTGCACGTACACCTTTCTACTTGGGTACAGTGATCCTTAGCAGTGAGATTATAGATGGTGATGTCATGCTGTGATGTCATAAATGTTTATGCTGCTACACCTCCTTGAACATTTTATTGTTTCCCAGATGTATCTGAGCCTCTGACAGGGATTCCCACTACATTCAGGGGTGTCATACTATTTCAACTTGCATATCCTTCAAATACTGAAGTTTCTTCAGAGAAGATGAACATCAGAATAAGCTTTGCCAGCTGCGTTGGGTAGATTGTAACAGACAAGTGGAGAGGAAAAGTGTATCTGTCTGTGTTTAAATGGTTCATAAAAGAGCACGGTCTGCTTCTAATAAACTCTATGTACTTGTCTCTTAATGCCCAGAGGGTAGGGCAATCCTCCAGGCATGGTTCCCTAGAGGTTTCCTCCACAGGGCTTTTTTCCTTTCCTGACTCTTCATGAGTCCAGAGGTACCCCACATCTAGCCTCTTATCTGATCAAACATGCAATGATTTTTCAATTTATAGTTGGATTCCTTGGTCTTTCATCTCCCTAGCAGAGGCTGTAAAATAACATTTTGTAAAATATACCCCATAAATGTTTAGATAACTTATGTTTTTGCCTCATGTTGATTTTTTATAATTTAGAAAATTAGATGATTGGATATCATTATTTTTAAAAAATAGTGTTGAGGTCACAGTTGTCCTGTAAAATGGGAGAGTGTGTGTAGGTAATTTTATATGTAGGTGCTGTTCAAACGTGAGGAAGGTATTTCAAGTTCACACAGTAGTAATGGGCTTATTCTGGGAAATGAGAGTAACAGATAATACATTTAAAAATAGATGGTAAACACTGGATAAAATGAATTCTAAGATCTGATGATGGGAAGATATCCACCAAGAGGAAGGACGTTACAAATTGAGTAGAGATACCATGGGGACTGTTGGCAGAATAAAGTCTGTGCCAGTTTCTGGATTAATAACTTAGAGAGAGCCCCTCTACAGTCTGTAATGAATGCTGCCGCCAGACTGATTTTCCTCTCTAGTCAGTCCTCTCACACCTCCCCCCTCTGTCATTGGCTTCCTGTATCCTATAGGAGTCAATTCAAAGTGCTAACCCATACCTTTAAAACGCTGAACAATTCTAGCCCCTCTTATATCTCCTCACAGATCCATAGGTATGCCCCTTCTCGGTCTCTCCGCTCTGCCCGTGACCTTCTCTTGGCCGCTGCTCGCACCCGTATGGCCAACTCATGCTTGCAGAACTTCTCGCGGGCAGTTCCCTTCCTATGGAATAGCCTGCCTACCACCATCAGACTCTCCCCTAGTTTTCAATCCTTTAAGAAGTGCCTTAAAACCCATCTCTTTAGGAAAGCTTATGGCCTCCCAGAGTAACCTCTACCTTACATACCTGTCTCTTGCTCTCTCCTATAGGGCAGCACTCTATTCTCTCCACCAGCTCTGCTTCACTCCCACCCTATTTGATTGATATTTCCTGCCCTAACGTGTCTTATACCCCACCGCCTATAGACTGTAAGCTCGTTTGAGCAGGGTCCTCTTCAACCTATCATTCCTGTAAGTTTTCTTGCAATTGTCCTATTTATAGTTGCATCCCCCCTCTCATAATATTGTAAAGCGCTACGGAATCTGTTGGCGCTATATAAATGGCGATAATAATAATAAGAGTGCCCTCTGCTTCGAGAACATACCAAATGAGAGGTGCCATGATTCACTTTTCAAGCATTCAAAGGTCGAAGGAGAGAAAAAGAGGAGAAACAATTAATAAAATCTACTGCTCAGAAACTCTGCCTGTCTTTTGTTTGGGTTGTATTCACTTGTTACATATAAAATATTTTTAAAAGATGCCCAATGGACGTGTCATACAAACATAATCACACCTGGTCACAAGGACTGCATACTAACTTAGTTTATAATATTTAAAGTGGTGCAATAGGCCCAGGTCAGTATCATAAATAATTTGACTGCAATTAATCAATTACCCCAAACCCCTGTATCTGTGATAAACCTAGAGAATAGGTTAATATAATTCTCCTTTACAAACTCAGAGGATGGAATCATTATTATAACAGGTTAAATATCACTGGAATAGGTTTATGCTTCATTTTCTATTAAAGGTTGGTCTAGGTACCATAACTACTATAGAGTGCTGTAGTGGTTTTGGTGTCAGGAGACCCCTGGAAACTGGCATTGGCAATTATGTTAGAAAGGCCATGATGCCCCCTCGTGTAAGTAGTCAAACCGCATGCTGATTAACTTCTAGATCATCCTAACAGATCTCAGGTTCAGCAAATTTTCTAACAGAAGCAATCAGGCTCTAGGGCTTATACACAGCAATTGCAGAGCTCATCCAAACCACTTTCTAGCATATTGAATGGTACCCTTTTCTGACACAGTCACAATCGTATTCCAGAGACAACGTTGTAGATTCTCGCTAGACGCATTTGTGAATTCACATTTTTGTGGGTTTTTTCCCCACATTTCCATTTGCTTTGCATAAACCAATGTACTTACTATGTGGGAATTTTAATGTTACATTTTATTTTCATGTACCTATTGTCATGTACACTGATTAATTATTCTGTATCACCTGTCTTCACCTGATTAAAGAGATTTATATAAACAAGAAAGTAAAACAGGTTTTGGGTAGTGCCTCCCAGTTCTCGCTTTCTTTAAGAAGGAGTAGTTGCCAACTTGTGTGCAATAATCAAAAGGTGTTGTGTAACAACACAACCAGACTTTCCTTTGTAGAGAAACATTTTTTAAACACACTTTTTTACTTGTGACCATAAGAACAAGAGAGGTTGTGCAAAAGGCTGTGCAGCAATAGAAGCCTGTTTTTTTGTTTTTTTTTTATTATATGCATGTGTACTTAAAGTGATGCAACCACACGTCACTATAATTTTAGATTTAATTTATATAGTTTTATAACAAAAATTCATACATACTGTACAAACACAGTGAATATGTTAAGGGATTTTCTTCTTCAGAGTATGAGTGATTATTACGTATTGTGCCTTCTTTCATTCACCACATCGGTTCCAGTGTTAGGAGTAAAGGTAAAATCATTACAAATACCCGTTCATGATTTTACTCCCACTATCATCATTCAATTCAGCTATTGCAGGTTGACAAGAATGTGGTTAGCAGGTTAAGATCAGAGACTAACATCACAGTCCTAACCCACTAATATGTTAAGCGTATATTTCTAGAAACAGTATCACCCCTACCTCTTCTAATTTCTGAGGCTTTATATCTGTAAACATTTAAAATCAGTCTACCAAGAGATTCTTCAAAATATTACCATACCAAAAATAGTTGCCAAGTGGGCCACCCAACTACTCCTAATACTGGTCTTCGTGAAAATATTCACTTTACAAAACATTACTTTAATGTATATAATAATAATATAATGTCTGTAACATACCATAAAAATCACAAATTAGAAAAATATACAAATCAGATATGTTAAAATGTAATTAAATATAATCAAATTGTTCCAGAGTAAAAGCTAGCCAGCCCCTAGATGGAATGATCCTGAGAATCTGTATCTTTTGCCTGAGAATATTGAAAAATGCCCATTTACCCTGAGAGCCAGAAAAACTGCACTTTCTCTTTAATGCCCTGAAAATTTTACCAGTCACTCTCCTTACCTGATAATATTAGGGGGTATTTATCAAAGTTTCCGTTCTAAAACCTGTTCTAAAGTACTAAATGTGGGGCAGGCACCATGGAAACTAGTGAGACCAGCTGCACATTCCATTGGTGACTTTCTCCTCTTTCACATTTTTGCATCAATTTTTGGAAAAGAACACTATGAGAAGCTTCCCATAATGCAAGTTGTTTTCCCCTTGCCCCCAAGCATCTGGTAATGACTTGTATCCAGAGAACTGCACATCATTTCCAACTTGTTCCAATGGACTGCCACGTCATCTCTCTAAACTCTGCACTTGGTTCTTCCCATTTTCAGAGACTGGGGCATTCTCCCTTCATCCAAAAGAATCAACTATTGACCCCATTTCCTTTCGGAAGACAAGTCCATTGTCTAACATTTTTTTCCATATCTACACATTGCACCATAGACACCAGCACATGATTTATCCAGCCTTGTTCATGTTTCTTCAGCCTTGTGGTTTATCCCTTATTGTTTACAGGGTTACCTGTCTCCCATTTTCTCCTGCACCTGCACATTAGCTCTCTAAGTTTGTTCCCAGCGACCTGTATATTATCTCACTTTGTTTTGACGTAATGTTTCTTTGTTTCCTCACAGACCTACACTACATATCTTTCACAGAACAACCAAAAAGGACTTTATTAACCTAGACCACAAGTTATCTCGCACATGTTCGTAGAGACCTTTCTGTTAAGTGTCCCTTATTCCCATTGAACTTTACATTAATTAACCCATTGTTTACAGTGACCTGCACATTATCTCTCTACCCTTGTCCGCAGGGGCTATATTATATTCTTCATACAACCTCAACTACATTGTACCCAGATTTGGGCACATTGCCTCCTCCTGTATGCAGAAATAATCATATAAAGTCCCCCTAGTTTCAGTGGCTTGCATGTCATCTACATTTTATTCTAATTAACCTTTAATAATTCCCCTCTTTTTTTCCTAAGAGCAATAAATTATTTTCCCTTTGTTCCCAGTGGCCTACTCATGTGTTCCCATGGACCCATACATTGCCTTTTATTTGTTCTCAGTGTGCAATACATCATATTCTCGTTGCTTGTTGAGTCCTGCGTATTGTCTTCCTCCTATTCCCAGAAACCAGTATATCACCCCATCTTGTCCCCAGAGACATCACCCCATCTTCTCTGACCTTTTCCCAGATATCTGTCCATTGTTCCCTTTTGTCTATACACAACACATTATCTTACACTTGTTCAAAGAGACCTATACATTATTTCTCTCATTAATCTCAAAGTACTCTAAAATTGTTCACATTCTCTCTCCTGGATGATCCCAAAGAATTGTAAACTGTTCTCAAAACTTAAATTCTGTGTGGAGGACTGTAGCCACATAAGATCCTCTGCGGCCCACTTAGTGTTGGAGTGAATAATGAAACGTTCAGCAGTTCAGAGATGGTGGTGGGGGGGAGGGAGGTGGGGGGGGTGATATTTAACTGTTTCTCCTTCTTACTCTGGTCCACTCTGGGGTACTTTAACCCCTGTTAGTTCCACACTGTCCCTCTTTGCCTTAGAATCATCTTTTGAGCTCTGAAAGTCTTTTGCAATCTCCTCGAATGTCCGTCCCCTCGTCTCTGGGACTTTGAAGAAGGTGAAGATGAAGAAAATAATAAGTAGAACCACAAAGATTAGGAACACATAAGGACCACAGCCAATCTGCAGGGAATGCGGAAAGAAAATTAGCAACTTGTACAGATTTTTTAAATCCCCATATTCTATCATGCTTTGCCTATCTCCTCTCACTCATACATAAAAAGTAATAATAACATGTTTATTTGAGCAAAAAAATAAATAAAATTAGGTCCTTCATACAGATCTCTGTTGCTGCTGTTGATCCAAAGGAAAGCAAAAAAAAACAACAAAATAAACCACACACATTAAAGCCAATTTCTATTATGTCTCAAAAATGATAATTCATTTCTTCTTGACTCCAAAATGGCATTTCACCCTGTATCAATGTTTATTATATATAATAGCATGCATATTAATTATTATAACTATGTTTTCTGCAATATGTATCTATCCTTTTTTTTAGTAACTATTGAATCTGACTCTAGATTAAATTTTTCTTGCCTCATTTGATGACCTTGTGTCCTTTGTATATTTCTGTCAATGAACATATCACCAAAGGTATTTTTTTTTATTGGCTAGGTGCCATATTTTTTGTAATGCTATTACGGACAACTCTTCCAGTGAAAATTACTCAAATTCAAAACGTTCCTATTGGCTAATTTTTTAAAATTTTTATTAATTTTGCATTCCACCTTTTTGCTTTTTATCTGGATTTTTATAATGTGATCTGGAGAAATAGTGAACAAAATTGCACAGTCCGTTTAACTTTTTTAAGCTTAAACACACAGTTATTATCTGCAATTATTCACAAATAATTGGTTAAGATATTCCCCTTTATAACTACGAGTCTTTCATTTTCTATTTTAAATCTTATTGTGCATTTTTGTTTCTTTATTTTTGTTTTTTCAATAAAATTGTTGATGTGCCTAACCTGTATATTTTATTTAAATGCAATGTACTTTCCATTTAGTACCTGATCAGCCTTATTTTTAAAACTACATTGACTTTAATCCTATTCTCTATTATTTGTAAGATATTTCACTTGTAATCTATGGGTTGTTTTTTTCTGAGAATAGCATGTTCCTGTCAATGGTCTGTAAAGATGTCCTTAGGCTGCTAAAATTACTTTATTAAAAATTAAGTGTCTGTACAGAGCCCATGACAATTTTTATTTGATTTTCCTTATAAATTCACCATGTTATTGTGATCATTTACAAAGTATGATGTTAAAATAACAACAACAAAAAAAAAATACATTTTAAATTAATATTGTTTCCCTTAAAGGACCACTATAGTGCCAGGAAAACATACTCTCAGGGTCCCCCTCCCGCCGGCCTCTGGAGAGAGGAAGGGGTTAAAATCTTACCTTTCTCCAGCGCCGGGCGGGGAGCTTTTCTCCTCCTCTCCTCCCTCCTAGCGACGTCATCGGCTGAATGCGCATGCGCGGCAGGAGCCGCACGCGCATTCAGCCAGTTCATAGGAAAGCATTTACAATGCTTTCCTATGGACGTTGGCGTTTTCTCACTGTGATTTTCACAGTGAGAAGCACGCAAGCGCCTCTAGCGGCTGTCAATGAGACAGCCACTAGAGGCTCTAGAGGCTGGATTAACCCTCAGTGTAAACATAGCAGTTTCTCTGAAACTACTATGTTTATTAAAAAAAAGGGTTAACCCTAACTGGACCAGGCACCCAGACCACTTCACATTAAGCTGAAGTGGTCTGGGTGCCTATAGTGGTCCTTTAACTGAACTATTAGTCAAAATAACAAAATCAATAAAAATAAAGAGACATCTCAGCTTGTCCACATTTTTTTTTTTTAATTTTAACTGCCTGTACTCATGACCTGCCTATAAAGTAGTCACAAGAGGACTCGTGTCTATTTATTTATGCTACCAGTGTCTTCCCTAGTGGTAATTACACAATTTTATCATTTCTATTAACATTTTCTTACTGTTCCTTTACCGGTCTTCCAAGGTTCATCCAATCAGTTGTTCTGATTTTATTCATCTTTGTTTGACACTTTCTATTTCTTATCATTCTTTCAGTTGCCCTCACTCTTTTCCCCACCCAACCCCTGTTACCTCTGTCCCCAACTCACCGCTGCATATGGGAATAGCATTCCCACAAGAAAGTTTGCCGTCCAGTTGGAGCAACCAGAGACAGCCATGGCTGCCGGACGTGGACCTTGACTGAAAAGCTCAGCTACAATAAACCAAGGTATGGGTCCTGGACCAACTTCAAACAGAGCCACAAATCCAAAGATGGCCACAATGCTGACATAGTTCCATCCTAAGATTTGCTCCTATTTGCCAAAATAAAATAAAGTGTTAGGAAAGAATAAATGGTGACAGAAGGCCAAAGACCAAGAGTAAAAGACACAAAGGAATGTAAGATGTTGGGGTTTGACATATGTGTGAGTAGTATAAAATGGGAGGATTATCAGTAAAGAGTACATAGTCAAAAAATTGATAATTGAGAGGAGAATGGGAACTAGACTTAAAGACTTATTTTTCAATATATGCTGGTGGTTTGGGAATCTACCTTCCCAAACCCAACTCTAGATTAGTTATGGATAGACATGATAAGAATATTTATTGATATCGTGCTGTTTCATGCAAAGTATGTTCTACTAATAGCATTTTGCATTCTGTTTAAATAATTCCAAAGTATTTTGTAAAGATTCCGAGATAATGGCTGTTGTCTTAGAAAGGTTTTCTTCAAGTTGTGCCCTGAATGTGCTTGAATGTTTCTATACTGTTTGCCATCTCCTTTCTCTTTCAATATGTCCCTATATAAAGAGATACTCCCAGGCAGTAGATGACCTACATGTTTAATGCTTTATATATAAAACATTTTCAACTCTACATAGTTTTCAGCTTCCCGCAGTGAAATCTAAGGTGACTATGGAGTACCATAAAGCTGCTCCATATTCATACGGATACTCCAATTAAAAATTGTAGGAAGACAAGAACTAGCTGTAGTTCCAGTCTTCTCACAATTTTTATGTTCCCGATACCTTACTATTAACCATGTGAGACCACTTCCCTTGCTTCCCTTCTTTCTCCACCATGTGATCAAGGAGGTAAATGGAAAAGTTATCAGAGCTGGGATCTAGTTAATGACCCCTACCCTTTTCTCCAAATCTTGGTCCCTAAGCCCTCTAGCTAATTAATAATGGACTAGAATATCCAGTCCTTACAGCTTAAGGCCCACAGGGTTCCTAAGTCCCTCGCCCTATAAATACCTTCAATCCCCTCATACAATAGAGCCAGGGGATCCCCAATCCTCAGGTCTGAAATAGTTAACATCAGGTCTGAAATAGTTAACATCAGGTCTGAAATAGTTAACATCTTCAGTGGGCTGTGGCTGATTGGTTTCCAAAACCAACAAATGTCTGTGCATTCTCAGGCAAGTCTGACTCCTGCACAACTTGCCTAGTCATATCGGTTACAGTGTTAGTCTATTAAAAAGACTATTCAAGCCAGAAAAGGTACTTAAACAGCTTTTATTCTTGTGTATTCCTGCCAAAAGTCTGAAGGATCTGGATTATTTTTTTTATTGTGCCACAGTTTGGTTTTATCTTGTTTTTCCCATTAGTATTATTTGCTTATTTTAAGATAGCACCAGACTTTGATGCGTTATGTTTTGGACCACCCCGTCCTGGTTAGAATATTTTTATTTTTTGTATTTTAAATAGGCTATACTAACTGCTTATTGAAGTCTAATTTAAACATCGGCATTCCTTGGTCTCAATTAGCAGAGGGTCAGGGATATTATCAGGTCTGCAGGAATTGGGCACACGCTTGACATAAAGTAATTAGGACCAGGGCTCAGGAGCAGACCCACTAGTGCTCTTACTTGTATTACCTCCATCCCACCACTGGGGGTGGAGGAAGCAGTAGAGGCATGGAAAACGGCTTGATAAATAAATATTAAAAGATTGTGCAGGTTGCATAAATAAGAGTTTGAAAGGAATGAATTAAAAAGGATGGCATGTTGTACACAGCAGAGCTGAATGCGGGTGCAGGCAGCAGAGATAAGAATAGAAAGGAGGTGCAGGCTGTATGGAGAGGAATTTAAATAAGGTGCAGGCTGTATGGAGAGGAATTTAAATAAGGTGCAGGCTGTATAGGGAATAGTTGTACGGGGTGTATAAAGTGCAAATGAGTAAAGGCTTGCAGAGCAGTCAGTTAGAAAGACATTTCATGTTTGAAACCATGGTGCAGAATGAAGGTGATTCAGGTTCACTAAATAGAGCTAAAATAAGGGTTCAGCAGCAGAGAACACATCTTACTTTATTGAATGACCTTACCCCAAGTTTGAGAGCAATTGTCATTATGACAGCACACACAGCCATTCCTCCAAGACCTATGAGATGCAGAGTGCGGCGACCAGCCCGTTCTACCAGGAACAACTGAAATGAATAGAGAATAATTAGCTGTTTATAACTACATTCATCATGCAGACTATATACTCATATACAACAACTACATCCCATATACTTATAACCTCCGTATATAAACCCAGTATACACTGTATATCCATATATAGCAACTACATACCATATACTAATAACCTCCATATATAAACCTAGTACACAGTCTGTATACCCATATACAGCAACTTCATCCCATATACTAATAACCTCCATATATAAACCCAGTATACAGTCTGTATACCCATATACAGCAACTATGTCCCATATACTTATACCTCCATATATAAGCCCAGTACACAGTCTGTATACACATATACAGCAACTACGTCCCATATACTTATACCTCCACATATAAGCCCAGTACACAGTCTGTATACACATATACAGCAACTTCATCCCATATACTAATAACCTCCATATATAAACCCAGTATACAGTCTGTATACCCATATACAGCAACTATGTCCCATATACTTATACCTCCATATATAAGCCCAGTACACGGTCTGTATACACATATACAGCAACTACGTCCCATATACTTATACCTCCATATATAAGCCCAGTACACAGTCTGTATACACATATACAGCAACTACGTCCCATATACTTATAACCTCCATATATAAACCCAGTACACAGTCTGTATACCCATATACAGCAACTACGTCCCACATACTAATAACCTCCATATATAAACTGTAGCGGAGTGGCAATATTAAATCCCACGATCTCTGCTGGTTAAGAAGGTAATCCACAGTCAAGCGCTGAAAAGTAAGGCAATATCCCAAATCTCCCAGTAACCGGACGAAACACAGTTCTGAGAGTCAACTGAGGCTTTATTCACAGGCTCCAGAATTTATACAATTCCCCATGCAAGGGGTTTCCTGAGTCAGATCACAGGGGCATTACAGGAGTGGACTACATGGGAAACTTAATGTACAGAGCATTTCTCCCATCAGGCACTGCTGCACGAGAGGGACACTCCCACTGGAATGTACAGTTAAGTGGATTATCCCTCCGTGCAGCAGAACCGGCAATTTATATTAAAATGCATAACTTTTCGAATATTGGGTTGATTTGCACGAATGGATGTTCGGTAGATAGCTGGGGTCTGAGCGCATAATTCGTGAGATTACTGCTCAGATCCCAGCTAAAACAACCGAACGCCACACGAAAAACATATTCATCAAAACATGCATTCAAAAGACTTGGCTTACGGGGAATAAAATACCGAACGGCCCGGAACTCCTGAACGGCCTGGAAGTCCAGCGGTGTTCGCGCCGTCGAGTAGCCGGTTTTTGTACCATGCGCTCGACGACCAAACACCGCTGGAGAAACAAAGGATCCAAGATGGCCGACCGCCGCGTGGTCGGTAGTCGAACGACGGCCACCTAGGAGAGCCTCTAATTAGCGATTGCAACATTGTTGCAATTGGTTAACAAGCACCACACGTCTCTTAGTGTGTGGGCTATTGCAGGATAGTTCATTTGGTTCACGAACAGCCTGCAAAGGCGCTGTTCGTGAAACAAAGGGAAATCCAGCTATCTGCTTTCGGCAGATAGCCCATACAGGCAATACAAGCATACGGTCACAGTACATTACACTCAGGAACATATAACATTACAAGAACTACACAGGCAACCCTTAAAGCCATAGTCTCTGTATATTGTCCAAGTGGCTAGGTTTGCCACATAAAGCTATTACACAGTCTGTATATCCGTATACAGCAACTACATACCATATACTAATAACCTTCATATATAAACACAGTACACAGTCTATATACCCATATACAGCAACTATGTCCCATATACTAATAACCTCCATGTATAAACCCAGTTAACAGTCTGTATACCCATATACAGCAACTATGTCCCGTATACTAATAATCTCCATATATAAACCTAGTACATAGTCTGTACATACCATATATTAATAACCTCCATATATAAACCTAGTACACAGGCTGTATATCCATATACAACAACTGCGTTCCGTATACTAATAACCTCCATATATAAACCTAGTACACAGTCTGTATACCCATATACAGCAACTATGTCCCGTATACTAATAACCTCCATATATAAACACAGTACACAGTCTATATACCCATATACAGCAACTATGTCCCATATACTAATAACCTCCATGTATAAACCCAGTTAACAGTCTGTATACCCATATACAGCAACTATGTCCCGTATACTAATAATCTCCATATATAAACCTAGTACATAGTCTGTACATACCATATATTAATAACCTCCATATATAAACCTAGTACACAGGCTGTATATCCATATACAACAACTGCGTTCCGTATACTAATAACCTCCATATATAAACCTAGTACACAGTCTGTATACCCATATACAGCAACTATGTCCCGTATACTAATAACCTCCATATATAAACCTATTACACAGTCTGTATACCCATATACAGCAACTACATACCATATACTAATAATCTCCATATATAAACCTATTACACAGTCTGTATACCCATATACAGCAACTACGTCCCATATACTTATACCTCCATATATAAGCCCAGTACACAGTCTGTATACACATATACAGCAACTACGTCCCATATACTTATACCTCCATATATAAGCCCAGTACACAGTCTGTATACACATATACAGCAACTACGTCCCATATACTTATAACCTCCATATATAAGCCCAGTACACAGTCTGTATACACATATACAGCAACTACGTCCCATATACTTATAACCTCCATATAAACCCAGTACACAGTCTGTATATCCATATACAGCAACTACATACCATATACTAATAATCTCCATATATAAACCTAGTACACAGTCTGTATACCCATATACAGCAACTACGTCCCGTATACTAATAATCTCCATATATAAACCTATTACACAGTCTGTATATCCATATACAGCAACTACATACCATATACTAATAACCTCCATATATAAAGCTATTACACAGTCTGTATACCCATATACAGCAACTACATCCCATATACTAATAATCTCCATATATAAACCTAGTACATAGTCTGTACATACCATATATTAATAACCTCCATATATAAACCTAGTACACAGTCTGTATATTCATATACAACAACTACGTTCCATATACTAATAACCTCCATATATAAACCTAGTACACAGTCTGTATACCCATATACAGCAACTACGTCCCATATACTAATAATCTCAATATATAAACCTATTACACAGTCTGTATATCCATATACAGCAACTACATACCATATACTAAAAACCTCCATATATAAACCTATTACACAGTCTGTATACCATATACAGCAACTACATACCATATACTAATAACCTCCATATATAAGCCCAGTACACTGTCTGTATACCCATATACAGCAACTACATACCCCATACTAATAACCTCCATATATAAAACCAGTACACAATGAATACCCATATACAGCAACTATGTCCCATATACTAATAACCTCCATATATAAAACCAGTACACAATGAATACCCATATACAGCAACTACGTCCCATATACTGATAATCTCCATATATAAATCCAATATATAGTCTGCATACCCATATACACAATCTACATCCCAACTACTAATAACCTCCATGTATAAGCCCAGTACACAGTGTGCATACCCATATAGAGCAATGTACATCCCATGTATTTTTAACCTTTGTATATAAACCCAATGTACAGTTTGTATACACATAGACAACAATGTACATCTTGTGTAATCATAATCTGCACACACAAAGGCACATGTAGACACTTACTGTACTGTGTGCTTCAGCAAAAACAATATATACATACCATTTAATACATAATGTACACTGACAGGCACATTACTGGATATGAAGACACACAAAGAGTTAAGGGACCTTGTATGTTAGTTCACATATTGCTTTGACAGCTCAGTCATTGTGGACCATGTACAAGATTGCTGCTAGAGAGCAATGTTAGAGTCACTTTAATCAATTGGGATATTATAGTCAAAGGGGGATAAAATAAAACCAATTCATCATAATGCTATATCGCACACGGCTTCTGTGGATTGGCTTTTTTATTCCCATTTCTAACTTAGTCACGTCAGATAACTGCCTTTCTGTGACAGCTAGTATGTGAAAAAAGGAAATTGTGTAATTCCAGTCTTTCAAAAGTGTGTACTTTTCGAAATGATCATTGTTACTACATTTTGATTGTGACAAAATATTTCTGCACTACAAATTTTTGTATCAAATATCTTGCGATTGACGCAATTGTTCAATGATTGGTGTAATAACCAGAATAAACTTTAGTTAAACAAGAGTCCGATGATGAAGAAGGTTCAGGTCGTGGGCACCCCAAGCGTGGACTTTAGGGGTTGAAGGCCCAAATGAGGGATCCTGGCAGGCAGTACTGGAAGGAAACTCCAAAAATCAAGTAGATAGTAATTTTCATAGATTCTCCACCACCACTCGTTCAAAAACGGGATAAATCTTTCACTGTTCATAAAAATAAAAACTTGTAATCGACATACAGCGGAAAGTTCATATTAATGTGAAGATTACAATAAAGGATTTATGCAGTTTTTGAATGAGCAGTGGGGGAGAATCTGTGAAGGTCGCCATGTGTCACATATTCATCGGCTTATAAAAATGTGGTTAATGACATTTACTGTCCACACAGGAAAAGTTGTGCCGAGCAGCAACCAAATCCACAGAAGGGTTAATGCTGAGCAGCAATTATGCAAATGGAAAAACCTGGTAACTGCCTTTGGGGTCAAAGGCCGGTTACAGCCTATCGGATCTAGAGGAGGGGTATTTAGGCCCAGTTCTCATTCTGCTCAGTGCCCTGTCGTGGTTTCCCTTTTGGTTGTCTAAGAGCGCGTTATTGATTCTGGTAATTCTGGTTATTTGACTTTGGCATTGTTTTTGACTTCCCTGTTTTCTGGCATCCCTGACTCCTGGCTTTTCCTTATCGTTGTGTCTCTTTCTGTTTCCCTTGACCTCAGCTATTCCTGACTATTCTTTGGTACGTTAGTCTGGCCATTCTAAGGTCCGGTATACGTTACCCATGAGTCCTCTGTGTTACACAATTCTACGTGCTGGATCATTCTGTAATCCTGACACCATGTACTTGATTTTTTTGTAGTTTCAAGTTTAAGTGGTCCGACTATCCGTTTTAGCGATCTCAAGGTGGGAGCTACAATTTACAAAGAGATTTAAAAACAAATAAAGTGTGCTGTAATTGCGATTTTGCAAGTTGCCGTTTCAAATCTTTTTATAGTGGTGGAAGGAATACAGCGGAGACCAGATGCTTTTGTTTTCGTCTGGAAGTTGCGTCTTGAAGCAGCTACACAATATAGAAGGAAAAAAGGGCTAAGAAAAGAATAGGGGACCTTAGGACCACCTAGAAGACATGGAGTAGACAACCTTCGGCACTCCAGATGTTGTGGACTACATCTGCCATAATGCTCTTACAGTCATAATGCTGGGAAAGCATCAGAGAAGATGTGCAAAAGGTTGCCTACCCCTAGAGTTGACAATGTGACCCATATTGATGTCCTCCCTTGTTCAAAATCATTTGTGCATTGGACACTAGTCACCCCTATCTCTATCTTTCCTGGGGGGTTTTCTCAATGGGATTTAACATATGTGTGTGGGGTCTATAAAACTCTGGCTAGAGAGAAGCCCAGTCCACTCACGGTGTGAGTACGTGGACAGGCTACTACAGCACCTCTGTTGAGCTTTTTCCATTTGTATTTTTTATTTTAAATAATGCATTTTTGAATTATTCTATGTCAGTCAAATCCAAGTCTAAAGAGTTGTGGTTAACTCCCTTACTATACTTTGAACAACTAGCCGGTTATTATTTTTAAATATACCCAACGAATATCAGCCAGGCAGGTAAAGTAAGTTAGTTCTTAATAGATTCAGACAGATATTTCACACAACTTTAAAAGAGTAGGCATTCAGTCCCAAGATAGAATAACTTACACACAGATCGTAAAACAAACCCCACTCACCGACACCACAGTAAACACAGTATTGATTATGCCGACTCCAATTGTGGCATACACTGGTTGAGGAATACGAGCTTCTTCAAATATACTGGTGGAATAGTAGAATACCTACGGCAACATGAATACGGCATGGGATTAGGATTTAGAGTATTTAAAGGGATAGAAGAAGAAGAAACACATATACAATTTGTCAAAACAGAGGGAGAGATAACTTGTTTACATTAAAAAAAAAAATTTTTTTTAAAGGGATCAGGTCAGTGTAAAGAGAAAAGTAAGAATAGACCACATGTTAACGTAAAAGGAAAAGAGTAGGAATATAGAGAAAACATTAACTGATACTCTAAGCACCAAACAACTACAATCAGGACTGCCCAAAAGGAAGATCCCCAGATGTTGTAGAACTACAACTCCCACGATGCTTTGCATGCTGTAGTTTTAAAACATCTGGGGATCCACCTTTTGGGCACCCCGGCACTACATCTTAATATAGTGGTTTTGGTGCGTGTATGCTGCTTTTTTTTTTGCCGTTTCTGAGAACTTTTCCCTAGTGGCTTTCAGATGGTTGTCCAATAGAGCCACTTCTTTACATCCTTCAATTTCAAACGACTTCACGTCGCACAGTCAGCTAACATTTCTCATACAGAACCATTGGATTCAATAGTCTGACTGCTGTGAGGAGTCTGACCCAACACTGGATTACAGGTTTTGTAGCATTTTACTTAACTAAGGGAGGCGTCAGTGAGACACCTTGGAGATCAGCTGTGTATGCGCAGCTGTCCAATCACCATCATTCAAAAATGGTTTATCCCCCCAAGTTAAGACTACAAGCACCTCTTCCAGACATTGTGATAAAGTCCTTATGTTGCCCAAAGTTGTCCTTTAATATAAACAGAGAGAAGAAAGAATACATAAAGTTTTATTATTAAGAAAAAATAAAATGACAGTAAGTATGAATATTTTTTCTTTATAACCATAGCAGCATAAACATGCAAGCAAGTGATAAATACGGGAGCCGATATACTGAGGCACATGAAAGGTTTCTATTGGATGATGATGCTATTTAGAGGACAGTAAACACGATTTCCTGTCCTATCTGCTGTGAGGGGGGGGCGACCTATTTGTTAATGCTGCCATGGTTGGCCAAGAAGTAGTGGTTACGTACAGCGTTAATTCCAGACAGCTGCTGTGATAGTTGGAGGACAATCGAGATAATTATTGGCTGGCGATATTGCCTGGAACGGAATAATTCCACAAAGGACACCGGCTTCTCCTGAGCCATTCTCTCACCCTCTTCCTTCATTTCATTGATGTCACTAACCACATCATGAGTTCCACGCAACCTCTTTAGAACTGACGACACATATAAAAATTATACAACATCACTCCCTGTGTTTCAAGTATTCACATACTCTTAAATATTTAATAAAATGTTTCTTACAATTAGCATACAAACACAATACAAGACAAGGAAATATACACACACAAAAAATACAGTGTAATTCACATTATACTATTTTAAATAGTCATCATGTCGTCTATGTTGTATGTTTTAAACAGCTTTTAGTTAAGATCAAAAGTGTATATATGCACACACCCTTGACCTCCCAAAGAGAATGTGTCTAAGTATCAAGCAATTTTTGTATGTCTGGAATGTTTCATGTTCTGATCGTTTGCATATATTAAAAGTTAAAATGATATAGAACGTTATATAATGAGGTTAGCATGATAAAATTCTTCAGATCAATAACATACAAATTTGAGTGATAAGTAATAGCTAATAATACATATATCTTTACACTGCTGTAATCTACTAGGTAATTCTTGAAAAATAATCTGAATATAATCTACTACCTGTTCTAAAGAAGGATATCATGGCACTAGAAAAAGTGCAGAGACGAGCTACAAAATTGATAAAAGGAATGGAGCATTTTAGTTACAAAGAAAGGTTAAAAAATTAAAATCAGGAAAAACAGGGCTTGAGACGGGATATGATAACTTTATACAAATATATTCGGGGCCAGTACAAACCATTATCTGGAAATCTATTCATAAACAAGGCTATACATAGGACATGAGGTCACACATTCAGGCTGGAAGAAAGGAGATTTCATCTAAGGCAGGGGTTCTCAACGTTAGTCCTCAGGACCCCCTACCAGTCCAGGGTTTAGGGATTACCTGGGTGTGTCTAAGGTGTTTAGAAAAAGAAAAAAAAACACCTTAGAGTCTAAGGTGTTTTTTTCCCTTTTTGTAAACACCTGAGACACACCCAGGTAATCCCCAAATCCTGGACTGGTAGGGGGTCCTGAGGACTGGGTTGAGAACCCCTGATCTAAGGCAAAGAAAAGGTTTTTTTGTACAGTAAGAGCAATAAGGATATGGAATTCTCTGCCTGAAGAGGTGGTTTTATCAGAGTCCATACAGATGTTTAGACTGCAATTGAATAAATACTTGCAAAACCATAAAATACATGGATATAATTTCTAATTAGTAGGGTAATAACTGCTTGATCCAAGGAGACATCTGACTGCTATTTTGCTATTAATTACGAGAGTCGTGATCATATATGATGACGGTGTTGCTAATACAAAAGAATGGACAGTTACAGTGGAAACTAATTTAGTCACCAGCGCCATGGTGATTGCTCCATTCTGTAGAAATTTGCCCAACTTTTCTATTAGTAACAACAGTAATTTGTTGTTTCTATACTCACTTTCTTCGGCCTCCTCTGTCTTGCCTTTAATAATGAGCAGATATCGAGGGCTCTCTGGACAGAATGGAAGAAGTGCACATTGGATTATAGACAGGAGGCAAGTGATGCCCAATAAGAGTGGCCACAATTGCTCAGATCCCAAAATAAACCTAAGTCCAAAAATCTGCATGGAAAAAGGGAGAGATGAGAAGAAGTCAAAACCAAGATAAAGATAATCCTTAACATAATTGTCCATCTCATGAATACCTGTCTCCAGATTTTTCTCTACATATATTGTGACAAATGTGTTTTACGATATACCACATGCTTACTTCCAAAGTTAAAAAAGGCTGCTTAGATTACATTCTTCCACTGTTCCAGAGAGGTAACTCTAGAGGGCGCGAAAGAGCTACTAGAGCAGACTATAGAGTTGCCATTAAGCAGGTACTCACCTGTGCAATCAATATTCCCACCACAATGCCCAGCTGGTTAAGAGTGCCTAGAGCTCCACGTAACCTGGTGGGTGCCAGTTCTCCAATGTACATTGGCACCAGACCAGTACAAAATCCAGAGAATACCCCAATGATAAACCGTCCAATAATCAGCATCTCTGGGGACCAGGCTAGTTTGGAAAGGGCCATGAATGCTCCTCCCAAAAGGGCAGTGACATTTACCAACAACATGGAGTTCCTCCTGGAAAAAGAGCATGAGGAAACATGGTTGAATACACAGAAATTATAAAGACAAAGTATTTGTACAAAGATGCCATACTCTGAACATATTCAGTGATATAATTTTAGATTGATCTGTGTATGCTGAGAAAGAAGTCTGTATACCTATACAATGGGTTAATTATGGAGGACACTAGAGTCACCGTAATATCTACAGATAAATGTAGTTGTTCTGGTGTCTACAGCCTGTCCCTGATGGTTTTTTAATGTAAACATTGCATTTTTAAGGAACATTGATGCCTAGGAGTACCTGTAGTGGCTGTCACTCTGACAGCCACCAGAGGTGCTTCCTGGGTCTTACAGAGTCTCCACACTTAGCATGGAGGTGCTGAAAATTACCCATAGAGATGTATAGATTTAATGCAAATCTATAAGGGGATGATGATTGGCACATAGTGGCATTGTGCCACGCATGCGCAATAGCCTACCAATGCCTTCCCATTGGAAAGCTTTGGATTTTTTTTGGCCAGATGTCGGTTCCACTTGGCCGGATGTGAACAGAATCAGAAGATCAAACCAAAAGATGTGAAAATGGTACAATCGGTGTGCTGCAAAATATATACATAATATAATATGTATATATTTTGCAGTTTACTCATAGTAGCATTTGGCTCCCAGATTTGACATTTAATTCAGAGATCAACCGAGAAAAAAGTAACAAATAAAGGAGAAAACAGGAGAAGCAGTAAAAAAAAAAAAAAATCTATATTTATATACTATATATTTATTAAATATATAAAATATACATATTTTTCCCCTCTATTGGTCACTTGAATATTTGATCTGTGAATAAAATCAACATTTAGTGACTGTCCTGCAGGCATCAGTCATCTTTGTTTCCTTTTAATCATATCTTTTTTGGCACCATGAGAGAAATTCAACAGTTCCCCAGCCGAACATGTTCAGCATTGAGTATTTCGATAAGTTTGTAGCTTGGGTATATTTTGGTTCATAATTCAGAAATTCTTCCAAACACCCGATTGGCCCAAATTCAGTCAAATTGCGTTCAGTCCAAAACAAATCTTCAAGTCTGTTTTTTATCGTGGACCCATACCATTTTATTTTATATTGGACCTTAATACTCACAAGAAGGTGATTGGAGGTGACACCAATGATGTAAAGGTTTGTTTAGTTTTTATATTGTATTGGAAATTCCACATTCTGCTTAAACCTAGCTTGTCAAGATCCTCACTCACACTAAAAAAGCTTGTTTGGTTCATATGTTCTGGATAAACTGTATAAAGATCTATAAGGAAACACCAGCCTATAAGCATTCAGACTGCATGTTATTTAAGAAATTCCTTACCTGCCAAATCGATTTGCAACATAACCAACAGAGAGAGAGCCAACCATCCCCCCAACAGAGAAAATAGCAACAGACAGCGACCAGAGTGATGTGAGCAGTCCATCTGATATGAACTTTGAGTATCGGCGTTCATAAGTCTCGTTATAGAATGATTTGATAATCTGAGATGAAAAAAACATTCAATCAAACAGAACCACGATCAATCAACTATCAAAACTATCAAACAACTCAACAAAACATAGATAAGTAATGAAGCTTTACTGTAATCATTTAGCACAAAACACTGATCAATAAATTAAACTGGACACTAATCAATGAATCAAATAATACACAATTGCTTTTCAATCTTTAGGCATACACTGATCAGCCACAACATTAAAACCACTGGCAGTTGAAGGGAATAACATTGATTATATCATTACAATGGCACCTGTCAAGGGGTGGGGTATATTAGGCAGCCAATGAACAGTCTGTTCTTGAATTTCATATTTTGGAAACAGAAGAAATGAGCAAGCCAAAAGATGTGAGTGACTTTGAAAAGGGTCAAATAGTGATGGCTAGACGACTGGGTCAGAGTACCTACGAAACAACAAGTCTTGTGAGATGTTCATAGTTTGCAATGGTAAGTACCTGCCAAAAGTGGTGCAAGGAAGGACAACCAGTGAACTGGAGTAAGGATCATGGGTGCACAAGGCTTATTGATGCATTTGGGGAGCAAAGACTAGCCTGTTTGGTCCGATCACACAGAAGAGCTACTGTAGCTCATATTGCTGAAAAACATGATGCTGGCCATGATAGAAAGGTCAGAACACACAATGCATTCCAGTTTTCTGCATATGAGGCTGCATAGCTACAGACTGTGTAGTGTTGTGCACTGGGCAATGTTCTGCTAGGAAACATTGTGTCCTGGCATTCATGTGGATGTTACTTTGACATGTCCCACCTACCTAGAGATTGTTACAGACCACGCACACCCCTTCATGGCAATATTGTTCCCTATTGGCAGTGGGCTCTTTCAGCAGGATAATGCACTGTTCCAAACAGGGCCGGCGCAACCATATTAGGTATTCACCTAGGGTGCCAGCCTGCTGGGGGCGCCCACCGGGATGTTTCCTGGTGGGCTGCCCCTATCTTGGGCCGCAGCACTAAGCGAGCGGCTCTTGAGCCGCCCTTCCCCCCCAGTGCCGGGCCAATCCTCCAGGCGCCCGACGGTGGAAGCACCAAGAGGAGCCCTGTCACAGGGGGAACAGGAGGTGGCCATCTGGCCACCTTTGTGCACCCTCAAAGCTGTACTTGCTAGGGAGGCAGAGCAGGCAGCTGCTGACCTTGATGGCAGCTGCCTGCCCTTTCAATAACAATAAATGCTAGATGGGGAGAAGGCAGGCAAGCGTCGGTGGCTATGTGGGCAGCGAGGGAGGCTGTTTTGCAGCTTCTCATTCCTCCCTTGTGCAGCGTCTGTGATGCCGGGAGTCGGAATATGACATCATTCCGGTCCTGGCATACTAAACAGCGGGTGGGAGGAGTGAGGAGCTGTCCTACACTGGACCCCAGGGAAGTAGGGAGGCTGGATGGGCCTCAAAAAATAAAATTGTGTGAGTGTGTGTGTCAGTCAGTGTGTGAGTGTTTGACTGTCAGTGAGTGTGTGTGTCTGTCAGTGAGTGTATGTATGTCAGAGAGTGTCCGTCTGTGTGTCTGTCTGTCTGTGTGTGTGCTCATCTGTCAGTGTGTGTGCTTGTCAGTAAGTGTGTATGCTCGTCTGTGCTAGTCTTATTATAAATTAAATTCACCAAGTGCATTAAATACATCATTTATCACAGTGATAAATTATGTATTCAATTTACAATGTATGTATTAGGCAGTATGTGTGTAAGGATGTAGGTATGAAGCAGTATGTGTTTATGTATGTATGCATTAGGCAGTAGGATCTGCTACTAATCACTTGGTGCCAGATACCACAGGACACGTTCAGAGGTCTTGTAAAGTCCATGCCTCGATGCATCAGAGCTGTATTGGCGGCATGAGGGGGGCCTACACAATATTAGACAGGTGGTTTTAATATTGTGGCTGATCAGTGTTTGAATGGCATTTACATGTGCACTTTCATTTTATAGTCATATTTTTTTTACATTTAAATTGCATATAAAGGGCTGAATTCTATTAGATCAGATACGTTTATCTCTTGTAACGGAGTAGAATTTGTCCCATAAAAAAACTGCCATTCAGTTGCTTATCATATCTAAAAGTAACAAGTATCTCTACATACACACACACACACACACTTTTTAAATGTACAGATACGTGGTAATATCTTAATAAATATATGTACATTTCATATTAATCTCTGTATGCTTCCATAACTTTTACATTTATACTGCACCTTATAGGCCATTTGCCCAGACACACACACTGCGTATTATTCTCAATATGCAGACTTGATATTTATATTCACCCTATATATTTATACCTTCATAATAAAGGGCTAGGCATGTTTCTTTGTGTCATGTCCACATGATATTTACATGCATGCTGCATGTTACATTCATAAAGGACTTCTACATGTAAATTTTTGGTTGTACATTCCTTATTCTCACCTTTTCGGGGGCGTTGATTACTCCTGTGTTGTATCCAAACTGTAACGAACCAATCGTAGCAATAGACACCGCAAACGCCAGGGAGCATGTTATCCTGCCCTAAAACAAGAGGATTCTGTGAAATGAGGGCTGAGATTTATATGTAGAGTCAGCCACCTAGCAAATCACCTGGAGGACCTACACAAACACTAAAAAATCACCAACAGAAACAAAAAAGTATATGTTTATTTCTATTGGGATGTGTTTTGGAGCTGTTCTGCATAAGTGAGGCAGCACGAAATAAGTTTGTAGGGCTTTTGCTATCCAGGAACTGTATGGGTTTGTGCTTGGACTGCTTACCCTCAGTCTCAACGCTCTCCAGAAGCGTTGGTCTACTGGAATACTTTACAGCGGACTACTGTATTTGGGCTGACTGGCTTGTTGGACCATAATGAGTATGCATGATATCCCTGAAGGTGTTTATAAGTGACCATAGGGTGAAAGAGACATACCAGTTGTCATTGGTGGCAATGGGCACAGTAGGAAGCAGAGTCTGTGAATCTTAGTCATGCACAGTTCCCGATGACTGCTCCATCATACTTTGCAGGCCAAACTGATAGAGCTTGCAGAAAAAAAAAGTCATGACTTCAGCATCCTTCATCTGTTAAACCCACTTATCACAAGCTCCCAGTAGGACCATCCAAAGAGATCTGTGACTTTTAAACACAAAAGGGACACTTTGTGCTTTCTCCCCAGGCCAAAAACTGCCTCTTCTGCAGCAGGATAATGGTTCCTCACACTTACTAGAAAATAATACTATCTGGCAACATATAGTTTAAGTTAATTTTTACAAGGCTGCCGCCCACATCATGTGTTCCCTATTAAGGGTTCATTAGTATGTATGGGTTTAAAAAAAATTACCCTCTCTGTCTCATTAGAGCATTAGGACGGTGTTCTGCTATCCACTAGCAGAGAGCATCCATCTAGTTCCAAGGTCGATACATTATTATATATTTTTCCTTTATAAAAGAACTTCCTGTGAGTGTTTCAAGTTCAGGTCTAGGTCCTACAACTCAACTATCTTGCCCTTTGGTGGGTCTCTGCTCAATTCTCACACTGGTTTTAGATCAACTTGTGCCATTACAGAGAAAATATAAACCATATAGTCTGATATAGATTGATCCCACCATAAGCGATCAGATAAGTAGACCTCCCTTTCCACGTCTTATTTTAGGTGTCCCCATACAAGGCTTGGGGGATCTTTGCAAAATATACAATTACCCAAAGGGGTGAGTGCCACTTTAAGAAACTGTTTCTAGAGAAATTAACCCTGCGGCACTTCACCTACTACTTTCATCTAACTTTAGAAATTCATGTTAATAGTATAATCTGTATATCTTTTCATTGTAACTACACACGTTGTGCTTGAAACCTATTATATACTGGAGCAATTTAAATGGAGTCCAAGCGAAATGGGATTAATTAAAAGTTGCACTGCTGAAGGCAACATAAAATTGCATTAGGCTTGTCAGTAAAAGCAAAAAATTCAAGAAACCACTGTGGTACTCCGCAGATGTGGAAAAAATAGTAACAAAAACTAAAATTTAGCGTTTAGTACTTATTTTTTTTTTTTTAAACAGAGTGAGGAAGATAGACAGATCTATAAGATTAGGCAGAAAGAGGCTAAGCAAGTTATAAGAGCTTCCAAATCACACACAGAAGAGAAAATAGCACAGTCAGTAAAAAAAGGGGACAAAACATTTTTTTGTTGGAAGTTAGCGAATGTTGTGCCCTTTCACAAGAAAGGTAGTAGAGAGGAGTTGGGCAACTATAGGCCAGTAAGCCTTACTTTAGTAGTGGGTAAAGTGATGGAAACCATGTTAAAGGATAGGATTGTTGAGCATCTAAAATCACATGGGTTTTAAGATCAGAGACAACATGGGTTAACTTCAGGGAGATCATGCCAAACTATTCTTATTGATTTTTTTGATTGTGTAACTAAAATAATATATCAGGGTGGTGCAGTAGACATTGCTTACCTAGATTTCAGTAAGGCTTTTGACACTGTTGCACATAGAAGGTTTATCAATAAACTGCAATCTTTAAGTTTGGATTCCAATATTGTTGAATGGATAAGGGAGTGGCTGAGTGATAGGCAACAGAGGGTTGTAGTCAATGGAGTATATTCGAAGCATGGGCTTGTCACCAGTGGGGTACCTCAGGGATCTGTACTTGGACCCATTCTCTCTAATATTTCTATTAGTGATATTGCAGAAGGTCTTGATTGTAAGGCATGTCTTTTTGCTGATGATACTAAGATATGTAACAGATGTTCCAGGAGGGATAAGCCAAATGGCAAATGATTTAGGTAAACTAAACAAATGCCAAATATAAAGAACAGAGAAATTCCCCTTAATCGTAGATCAACCAAAACGTTGAATCTAGGGCTAGGGGAATGGGTCAGAGTAGGTGGTACCAGCTCCACCAAGTATGGGCATGAACCCTTTATTGTAGAAATAATAAAAATCACACAAAATGCTAAGGTTGTTCCCCTTTACAAGATAAACTACCAAGCAAGCCGCTAAAATGATAAGCAGACACTAATATTAAGCCTAATACATCTTAGAATATGGAGTCCAACTGGAGTCCACTTTTCTCCTATCAGTTGGTCTCCATATTCTAAGATGTATTAGGCTTAAAGGACCACTCTAGGCACCCAGACCACTTCAGCTTAATGAAGTGGTCTGGGTGCCAGGTCCAGCTAAGGTTAACCCATTTTTTAATAAACATAGCAGTTTCAAAGAAACTGCTATGTTTATTAATGGGTTAAGCCTTCCCCCTAATCCTCTAGTGGCTGTCTCATTGACAGCCACTAGAGGCGCTTGCGTGCTTCTCACTGTGATTTTCACAGTGAGAGCACGCCAGCGTCCATAAGAAAGCATTGTAAATGCTTTCCTATGCGACCGGCTGAATGCGCGCGCAGCTCTTGCCGCACGTGCGCATTCAGCCGACGGGGCGGAACGGAGGAGGAGAGAAGGAGGAGAGAAGGAGGAGAGCTCTCCACACAGCGCTGGAAAAAGGTAAGTTTTTATCCCTTTCCCCTTTCCAGAGCCGGGCGGGAGGGGGACCCTGAGGGTGGGGGCACCCTCAGGGCACTATAGTGCCAGGAAAACGAGTATGTTTACCTGGCACTATAGTGGTCCTTTAATATTAGTGTCTGCTTATCATTTTACCGGCTTGCTTGGTAGTTTCTCTTGTAAAGGGGAACAACCTTAGCATTTTGTGTGATTTTTATTAAACTAAACAAATGGCCAGAGTTGTGGCAACTGACATTTAATGTGGATAAGTACAAGATAATGCATCTTGGATGTAAAAACCCAAGGGCAGAGTACAGAATATTTGATAGAGTCCTAACCTCAACAATTGAAGCAAGGGATTTAATTTTAAAAGGATACTTAAAGCACCAAATAAATTCTAATTTAATGAAGCAGTTTTAGTGTATACATCATGCCTCAACTTAACACTCAATTCACTCCCATTTAGGAGTGAAATCATTTTCACTCTCAGCCATCTCCCCTGGCTGTTACTCAAAAAACCTGCATTAAAATGGTTTCATTTTCAAATAGATCTGAAAGCAAACTGTGTTTACTTTAGACGTTTTTAACTCCTGCTCTATTCATTTAACGTTGAATCACACAAAGCAGGCTAGTAACAGAGCAGATGTTATTAAAATTCTATATTAAACAGTCTGGGAGATTCAAACATTAGATCTCTCTTTACAGGAAATGTGTAGGAAGACTGTGTAGGTCCCATGCATGGAGGTGTGACTAGGGCTGTATAAACAAAGTGATTCAAATCCTAAATGGCAGAGAATTTAGCAGTAAGATTGCAGGGGCACAATCTATACACCAAAACCATTTAACTATCTAAAGTTGTTTTGTGTTCATGGTGTCCAATGAATAGCTTTAGCAAGTGTTCCTTTGCTAGCTCAATACCTTTGCTGCAAGGATTTCATAACATACCAACCCTCAGACATTAATTATGCATTGCTACATACTGAAGAACACAAAATGTTTAACTTATTTAAGTCATTGCCTGATCCTCGCTAACCAACCTTTCCATTTCAGATATGAATAAACAAACATTGCTCTTCTCTTCTTTTTTGACAATAACATACCTAAAATTTTTTATTTGTTTTATATATGATAGGTTAGCCTATCTGATTTTCAAGTTCTTTCAACATCTTTATAGTTTACACATGCTGCTACTTCCAATTTATCCAACACATGAGAAGTATTTGGGAATTGTTATAGACAACAACCTAGGCAACAACTGGCAAAGTCAATCAGCAGTTGCTAAGGCCAGTAAGATATTGTCATGTACAAAAAGGGGCATTCATTCTCAGGCTAAAAATAAAATATTTCCTCTTTATAAATCAATGGTAAGACCACCCCTTGAATATGTTGTGCAAGTATGGGCACCTCTTATAATGAATGATTTTATGGCACTAGAAAAAGTGCAGAGGCGACTACAAAATTAGGGGGCTACATAAAAGGAAAGGAACATTTTAGCTATGACGAAAAGTTAACAAATTTAAATTTGTCTGGTTTAGAAAAATTATGCCTCAAAGGAGATATGATAGCATTATACAAATATATTCGGGGCCAATGCAAAGCATTATCTGGAAATCTATTTATAAGCAAAACTATACATAGGACACGTGGCATTTAGACTGGAAGAAAAGAGATTTATTCCAAGGCAAAAGAAAGGTGTTTTTTTGTTTGTTTTTTTTACAGTAAGAGGTGGTTTTATCAGTCTTCACAGATGTTTAAATATCTGCCTACTTTCAAAAACATATTATTCAAGGATGTCGTTTTTCACATGTGGGGTAGTAGCTACTCGATCCAAGGAGAGATTTGACTGCCATTCTGGGGTCAAGAAGGAATTATTTCCTAGTTTGTTGCAAAATTGGAAAATGCTTTAAACAGTTAAAAAAAAAAGATATGAGAAAGAATAACTTCATGGATGCATGTCTCTTTTCATCTATGTAACTATGTAACTATGTAAATGGGCTGTAAATAAATGCTCGGTTGCCTTACTGAAGCTGCCCTACCTAAAATGTAATGCTTTAGTGACACCCAAACTAATGTTGTGCTATTTAACCCTCCACTATCCAGTTGTGTTTGAGAAATCAAAATGTGGGAGTGATATATCTTTGAAACATACAAAGCAAATGTATAGAATAGATCAGGGGTAGGCAACCTTCGGCACTAGTGCCACGCACGGCACTCGAGGTGTCTTTGCACGGCACTCAAGGCTGCTAGAGCCAAACAGGCTCTGGCCTATCAGGAGTCCCAGTGAAACTTCAGATATCTGCTAATACGAAAAGGTGGTGAAGGACAATCCTCAATTTATGCATTGCAGCACATAGAGTAAGTTATTTCAGATCACTTACTCCCAGCACTTGTGAATGGGAATCCACACTGTAGTAGAGCAGCCTGCAGCTGCTGTTGCAGGTCCTGTCCTTGACCTGTACCTGGCCAGCCTGGTCCCCACTGGAACCCAGGGAAGCCACCCACACTGCTAGATATACGCAGAAATGCAGAATAAGTCTCCCCTCATACAAATAACACAAACAGCCCACACACAAACACAAAACACAATCTCCACAAACGTAACCCGCTAACAATCCACATTCATGCACACAATCTCACATGCAATACCCCAAACAGCCCCCACACATACACGCACTACTAAACACACAATGTGACATATCCATCCACACAATTCCACAAGCAGCCCCCATACACAGCACGCATTCATAGGTATCATACACAATACCATAAACTACTTGTAAACATCTACAATATAATAGCTTATATACGCACAAATACAACAATACAAAGCAATTACAGTATAAATAACACAAGCAGAATATGGCAGCATACACCCCTCAATTTAAAAAAAAAATAGGACCAGCACGCTACGGGACATCACAATCCTATATCGGCACAGTGCTGCTAAAAGGTTGCCTACCCCTGGAATAGATCGTGCACATGATGCTCTTATATCTAAACAAATGACAATCGGACAAATACATTGCATGAAGCTGTTTCTAAGTTGTGGCTTCTAAAATGCCAGAGCAATATAAAAAATAAATTGTGTTGACATAATGTCAACATAAAGTATATAAAATTATCTGGCAAAAAAAGCCAAACATGCATCTGTATTACAGGACATTACAGGACATTGTTGGCTGCTATTGCAACCGCACACTTGAACGAACAATAATTCCTGAACTCTCCCTATCTTAATGACTGCTGTTTATCAGCACTGTAATTTGTGAGCCATGTAGACTCCTGTAAAGGGAATGGGAATTGGGATGGAGAACCTTTCTAGTCTCTGTAAGAGTTCTGTAAGAGTCCTGACAGATGCCTTAGCTAAGAAAATCAATTCTCTTATGAAGCTCAGAGTTGGGTCAGAGAAGAAGGTTAGTGCAGATTTATGGTATCTGATTCTGTTGTGATTTGATACGAAAACACGAAGCTACACAGCTCAACGAATTGAGATGTGAAGCTGCAGGTTAGCATGACCAAAAATGTGTTCCCTTTCCTTAAACTACTAGTTCCAATATTCTAATAGTTGAGTATTACATCTTAATAGCTTTGTACTTTCTTTTTTTAAGAGGAGGTACAATCCATTGGGCTTCCATATTATCACAAGTATCTTGTATACCAGTTCTTTAATTGAAAATTCTAGCTTTGGGAAGATGACATTATTTGTCATTTCATTTAAACAACACTGAACATGTGCCTCTTTATCATCATTCCTCATCCCTTTGCTTCCTCCACCAACTTTAGTTACAAACGAGTTTTAGCCTACTAAAACAGTATATTTAGATCTTTAATCTGCCCACCAAATATTAGTTTTTAGTCTGTAATACAGTGATAACATTCTAGTCATTTCTTGTTACCAAGCCCAGTTAACCCTTCGTACCCGTTAAATGTTTCACAAGTTAATGTTATACAACCAATGAAACAATTGGGTTCGTTTGATGTTATAGCTGTTTGTTTTTGTGAAGACAAACATGCGTCTTCCATATACACTACTGTGTATACAATTGTATGCACCATTCCTTTCTCGGAACTAACAGTTCTTCACTCTCTGCCATGCTTATTTCCCAAACTCTGTATTGTAGCAAAATTTTTATCTGAATGTTAACATTTAGGCAAAAAAAACAGTTGATCTGGAAAAATTCTCCAACTCCGGTATAGCCACAGCATGGATATTTCAGCATGCATTTTCCTTTGTATACTAAGACTTCATCCACATGTAAAGGTAGTGTCTAAAAAATGCTTCTACAGTGGTAATTTTCCTATGTTTGGATCCTAATTACCTGAACTCATTTTTAAGATGCCGCCTTTGCTGAGGACTATGTAATTGGAACCATAATGGACCATTTGGTCATCTCCAGCCCTTCCAAAAAGTTGCCTAGTTGTCCAAGCAGCAATCTGTACCTGAACACATATGTTTGTAAACTGTCTGTACCAGACTGATGTCTTAATAATGCTGCTTGATCACCTACCTTCTTAGACTCCATTCTGCTGGTTCTCACACCTTGTTCCAACAAGGGTTAAATCCAGGAGCTTCGAAGAAGGATGCAAGAGAATCAATTACTTTTTCTAAAAGTCAGAACTCTGGAATAACTACTTTCTGCCTTTGCAGTCTTCCAACTCTCTGCCTCTCTGCAACCGGCTGCAGAGGGTGTGTAACTTATGTGTAGTTACATCAGAGGAAAGGAAACACTTTTATATCAGAGAGTCTGTGACATCAGAATGACATTCTGTCCATACAATATCCCCTTGTGTCACTTAAAGGGGTTACTCCAACTATCAACTTCTGCTTTTAAAGTGATCATGGTTCTACGAGTTGGTATGTGCAGTGTTTCTGCTTGAAACACTGCAAATACAGAGATATTTGCACTTTTGTGCTGGGGGGCTCGTTACAACCATAACAACTCTATTCCAGGCTGCATGTTGTAAATTCCAAAGAGCATCTGTCATCAGAGCAGATAGCGTGCTGGCAACAGATGTAATGAGCTTCTCCCCTGCAGGCAGCACCTGCAAGGGGGGAGAGTTTATCTCCTCTACTTCCTACCTTCATTTAAGCCCTCCCTACCACCCTATACCCTGCATTCATTTTTTGTTTGATTGTTTTTTTATTTTTACTCTATCACTTTCTCCCCTTACTGGCTCCGACAGTGCGCTCTATAAGAAGCATTTGATTGGACCTCTCAACAGCTCCGGTGACATCAGACGAGGAGTGGGGAGCAACACTGGTATTTTTGGCCAACACTGGATTTTTTTGTAAGTTTTAGCTTAATTTTCTTTGTTATTTTACAGTTTGCCCAATAGCACTTTAGGAATTGTTGTTGTTTTTTTTTTTTTTTTTAAAGGCTTGGAGTAATTTTTTAAAGGGACACTATAGTCACCCAGACCACTTCAGCTCAATGAAGTGGTCTGGGTGCCAGGTCCCTCAGGTTTTAACCCTTCAGATGCAAACATAGCAGTTTCAGAGAAACTGCTATGTTTACATTTGGGGTTAAGCCAGCCTCTAGTGGCTGTCTTCCGGACAGCGACTAGAGGCGCATATTATGCCTCCATCACGCAGAGCGTCCATAGGAAAGCATTGAGAAATGCTTTCCTATGGACACTTTGAATGCGCGCGTGGCACTTGCCGCGCATGCGCATTCTGCTCCGCTGACGTCGGCAGAGGGAGCTGACTTCGGCGGGGGAGAAGAGGTCACTAGCGCCGAGGGAGCCCAGCGCTGGAATAAGGTAAACTGCTGAAGGGGTTTTAACCCCTTCAGTGCCATGGGAGGGGGACCCTGATGGTGGGGGCACCCTCAGGGCACTATAGTTTTCCTGACACTATAGTGATCCTTTAAGGTAAAATATGGTAAATAATATAGACAAATAGATAGCCATAGATGCATAAATAAATGCTTTTAAGATGTTGGTCCTCTAAAGACACCCTTGAATTATCCATATTGTGTCTGTTGGGCATCTAGTTTCTCTAAGCATGTGGGCCTTTTTCATTCCCTGCACCCCAGGTTTACACCATGCTTAATCCCATGCTTAAATTTTCTTTTTTTGCCTTAAGGTTAATTGATTGACCTTTCAAAGATAAATTACCTTATAAAATATATGTTTATTTATGGACCAGGCCACATTTGGTACTGATAACAGTACAGTGTTTAAATGTTCTGCTATGGAATGATCAACAACATTATCAGCCTGTGTATGAATAATATGAAAGACAAGTGGTAGCTCTAGGGTTAAAGATAGCAACCAATGTGGTTTAAAAAGGAAATGATAGTTCTTTAAAACTTAAGAAAAAAGAAAATGACGTGACAAGCACATCTATTAAGGTGGGGGAAAGGAAGTTACACACAGACGCACTCATGTCCGTTATCGTACAAGGAAGGGTGAAATAAACAGATTACAATATATAAGTGTTGCAGCGAATAAAGTAGTTTAAAATTGCTTGTTATCCTCTATTTATATTGCACAAAGACATTCCACAAAGTTAGATATGGAAAGTAAATGGTATTGAAAATTCATTTGACAGGCAGAAAAAAGATAATACAGTAGGTAAAGCCAAAACAGCCAAAATAAAACTAAATTAGTTTGGCCTTCGTTTAGTGTGCACTCACACTCACAAAGTTAGATCAGTTGTGAAATGCCATCAAGTGTCCCATGCATGAGGAATAAAGCACGAAGATCATCATTCTGCTTTTGTCATGGGGGGGGAGGGTGGGAGGCTTGTTGTAGAATTGTAGCTGATACCCCTCAGGGCACTGCAAGCAAAGGGGTCCACATTTGGGCAACCTTTGTGTCTTGGGGAGGTTCTTATGCACATAAGCCAAAACAGGGTGTTAGAGAAAAATAGATTTTTCAAGTGGTATCCACAATTTACCGACAATCAGAAGTGGATTAGGATATTTGAAACACCTGCTAATAATAATAATAAAAAGGTGTGCAAAAAAGTAATAAAGTGGTGAAATGCGTTGGTTAAAGTGTATCTGAAAAGCACCCAAAATGCTCCTGTGCTAGGACCTTGAAACTAATTCTACAAAAGTGAGATGAGCTTGATGGCTAATTCTTCAACTGGATACATAATGAACTAATTTCTGTAAAATACCTTAATTTGACTTGACCTAGTACCACAGGAGTGTTCTTTGCACTGTGGAATGTCATGTGACTACAGTGACAATTTATTGTGAACAGTTGCTGATTGTCTGATGGATATACAGTATCTCTTTCAACTCTAGGGACCCAGTGAATAGATGAAGACCAAAGTTTATGTCCTAATCCAGTGATTAATGACTGCTGTACCAAAGAGTAGATATCATGGAAGTATTAGAGCTGCGGTGAGTGGAGAAACAGGTAATGTGATGAGTTTTGAGGGAGTATTTGAAGACGGAGAGGAAGAGAGTGCTGTCCATCATGTGGGGATGAGTTTTAGAAGCAACAGTAAATACTTTTAATACTAATTTTAGCGGGGCCGCTGCCTATTTGTGAATTGCTAGGAGCTGTCCCCTTTATTTTCCCTTGTATTGTGTTGTATTTGTGGGTTTTACCTGCTCCCCGTTTGGGAGAGCTCAATGCGAACGGGTTCCGTTCATCCAGGGCCGGCCTTAGGCCATTAAGCGTCCTGTGCGAAAAATCTTCATAGAGCCCCCCCCCAATCCTCACCGGTCATACACCTTCATCCATGTTTGTGTGTGTGTGTGTGTTCTTGTATAGGGGTGTAGTGTTTTTATAGGGGATTTATTAAACTAATAATGATTTTAAAACATTAATTCCCTCTTTCCTGTTACCTTGCAGTGAGGAGGGAATGTTGATCTCTGATGTTCCAGTGTGCTGGGAATCTGGTCTGCACCATTTACCAGGTGCAGACTATGAGTAACTGTCTCATTAGCTCAGGCATTTACAGTGTCAAGGCTTCAATCCGCAGCAACACACTGATTGGTCGGAGCTTAGAAGACAGCTACTTATGATCTGCAGCCTATAGAGGTACAGGGCAGAGGTATCAGACTGCCTCCCATGCATTACAGAGGGGCAGACTAAGTATGTCACATATTACTGTGATACCCAATTACAGGCAGACATTCACACATACTCAGTTGCAGGCATACAGTCCCACACACAGGTACCGACAGACAGTCACACTTACACACAGTTACAAGCAGACAGTCACACACACACAGTTACAAGCAGACAGTCACACACACTCAGTTACAGGAAGACAGTCACACACGCTCAGCTACACACAGTTACAAGCAAACAGTCACACAGACACACACTCAGTTACAGACAGTCACACACACAGTTACAGGCAGGTAGTTACAGTCACATACAGGCAGACAGTCACACACACGGTTACAGTCACACACAGGCAGATACTCCCACGGTTACAGTAACAGACAGACAGAAGGTCTCACACACAGCTATAGTCACACACAGTTAAAGTCACACACACACACACACACACACACACAGGTAGACAGTCACAAACAGGCAGACAGCCACACACACACACACAGACAGTCATACACACACACACACACACACACACACAGAGATAGTTATACACACAGGCAGACAGTCACACACACACACTTACACACAAATGGGCTGGCAGGGAAGAATGGAGGCAGTGCAGTTCCTGTATTCTCATTGTTGGGGAAGCAGGGACTCCTTCCTGCTTTCCCCATCCTGTGCAGCAGTTATTACCAGGGGCTTCTGGTAGGTTTTAGCCCCACCTACGCCTCTTCTTCTCATTAATCTCCACCCCTGCTGCTCGGTAAGCCCTGCCCCCCAGGTACAGAGGCTCATGGGATGAAGACCCTTGGCCATCAGAGGTGGAAAACCCTGAGGATAAGGGGCAGGAACAAGGGACAAAGGGATTGGAGTTCTGTTTCTGGCAGGGGACCCCTGGGAGTGGGAGGGCCCTGGGAGGGGACACTGAGTGGCGGGAACAGGGAACAAAGGGACTGGGAATCCGGTTCCGATATACAACCCCCAGGCGGGGAGGATCCTGGAAGGGGACATTGTCTTCATGTGTGTTCCACCCCTTGCATGGGGAAAGTATAAAGCCTCCTGTGGCCAATAAAGTTGTTGTTGTACCCCTGGAACTGTGTGTCGTCCAGTTACTGGAGAAGATGGGTCTTTTAATTCATTTATAGCGGGGGGGGGGGGTAACCAGCTGGGTTACTCAGGGCCCACTACACTAATAAACCCAAAATATTACATAATCATATATACACTGCTCAAAAAAATAAAGGGAACACAAAAATAATACATCCTAAATCTAAATGAATTAAATATTCTTCTGAAATACTTTGTTCTTTACATAGTTGAATGTGCTAACAACAAAATCACACAAAAATAAAAAAATGGAAATCACATTTTTCAACCCATGGAGGTCTGGATTTGGAGTCACACTCAAAATTAAAGTGGAAAAACACATTACAGGCTGATCCAACTTTGATGTAAAAGTCCTTAAAACAAGTCAAAATGAGGCTTAGTAGTGTGTGTGGCCTCCACGTGCCTGTATGACCTCCCTACAACGCCTGTGCATGCTCCTGATGAGGTGGCGGATGGTCTCCTGAGGGCTCTCCTCCCAGACCTGGACTAAAGCATATGCCAACTCCTGGACAGTCTGTGATGCAACGTGACGTTGGTGGATGGAGCGAGACATGATGTCCCAGATGTGCTCAATTGGATTCAGGTCTGGGGAACGGGCTGGCCAGTCCATAGCATCAATGCTGACACAATCCAGCCACAGGAGGTCTAGCATTGTCTTGCATTAGTAGGGACCCAGGGCCAACCGCCCCAGCCTTTGGTCTCACAAGGGGTCTGAGGATCTTATCGTGTTACCTAATATCAGTCAGGCTACCTCTGGCGAGCACATGGAGGGCTGTGCGGCCCCCTAAAGAAATGCCACCCCACACCATTACTGACCC